TTCTTCCTTTCTTGAGGCGATTCATTTTGAGTTACAAAATATGCTGTTGCACCATCCTGTCGCGGACACCAAAAAATGTCGAGCTTTGAACAAAGAATTCGAATCACTGGACGGCGTAACCAGCATAAAATAAAGTAAAACTATTGCAACTCAATGATTGTTGGGAAGAATGAAAATGTATTTGTAATTAATACAAAAATTATAGGTAAAAATTATTTCAAAAGAGAGAGATAGAGTTTTGGGTCTCAAGACGCGAGCACGCGCCGACCACAACAACTTGATAACAAAGAGAACAAAGAGAGGGGCGAGGGAGGGTGGAAGTTGCATCATGGGCGTGACATCACCGCCGCCGCTCGCGCCGCGGGGGGGGAGGGGGGCGTCTTCTTCCACGGCTTTCTTACATTTTGAAGGCCTCCCTCTCAATATCTCCAAATAAAATGAGAATTAAAACACACACAAAAAAGGCAGTGGATCTGTAACACAGATGATGGATCCAACTTAATCTCCACTTTCTGTATGTGCTATGTTTACTTCTGTTTACCTATCTGGGAGAATCCTGTATGGGACGAGTGTCCTCAACAAAGGATTTTGAAATTGTTGTATATTGTCACGGTAGTATGAAGAGTCTTTCAAGACTAGCACTAAATAAATATTTATAAAAACCCTTAAACCTTTTCAGCTAAAATCTTAATGCAAAATTTTACCCTATTCAAAAAACAATATTAAAATATTTCAAAACCTTTCTAATATGTAATTTAATTTGTAATATGCAAAATATTTTGATTTGTAGTTAACTTCAAAATAACTTTTTTCATATCAAATTGTATAAATTAATATTTAAAGTAATATCTAAATGGTCCAAAATATGTGAATATAGTAATGTATATAAACAACTACAATACAGCATAGTTTCCTTTTCTAAAATATTTACCCTTAGAAAAGATCAAGCCCGGAGGAATGGGTCGAGGGAAGAAGGTTTATACCGAAAAACCAAGCGGGATTTAGAAAAGGAAGATCATGTATTGACCACATATGGATTCTCCGCTAGGTGGCCAAGTTGAGCGGTCGTGAAATTTTTCGGCTCCTGATAAGTAAATATTTTAAACCTATTAATTGCTTTTCTTGTGCTTCTACTTGGGTTACGCCTTCTTGTGAGTATCCTGCCGTTGGCCTATAATTTATATATTCTCTACGAAGATCATGAAGCTGATTTTATTTATTTCTATAATTAATATCTTCATTTTTGCTAGAGAAGCTGCTGTGATCATTAGATATCTAAATTTTCGCGCTGAAACTTTTGTTTATTATGAAAATAACTTCAAGGCTATCGCTTTTACTCATGCTGGAAAGGAAACCCGTCGATGTATTATTTTAATGCTACTGCTAATGTCGGGTATTGAACCAAAGCCTGGCCCCAAACAGACAAGACAAACAGCATTAGATGCGGGCAAAGATAAAAATTTGCATGATCTAATTTTAGCACTTTCAACTAAGATAGATGACTTTGGTAAAAAAATGGAGACTAGACTTGTTTCGGTAGAACAAGGATTGGACAAAATAAATCAGCGCCTACAACACTTCGAGTCATCATTGGAAACCACTTCTAAAGCTGTCTCGCTTAATACAAATAGAATATCCGATCTCGAGAGACGGTTGGAGCTTGAAGAGATGAGGCAGAGGGAAAAGAACTTGATTATTCACGGACTGGAAGGAGCAGAAGGCGAAACCACTGAAGAATCTCGAGGTTTGATCCAAGATCTGATTTCAAACACTATGCAAATTTCTGAAGATCTTATGATAGAACAGTGCCGAAGATTGACAAAAAAATCTAACTCGCCGCTGCTTATTGAGGTGCCTGATTTCAAGCAAAGAAACTAAGGAACGCTTTCAGACTAAGGGACAAAAAATATTCGTAAATAAAGATTACCCTCCAACTATTAGAGACCAAAGGATATTGCTAATTAGCAAGCAAAAGGAACTCATGAGCAAGGGAACTGTTTCCAAACTAAGAGATAACAGGCTAATTGTCCGTGGCATAAGCTACTCTGTTTTAAATGGCCGCGTTGTCAGCTCCAAAGGGGATGCATTATAGCAAATTTCGGATAGCATTCATACTGTACCACCGTCCAACCTAATTTTTCACAGTTAAAATATCTTTCTCAGGATGAATTTTTGCGACAACCTAGACAAGAACTATCAAATGATTTCTCATTTCTTAAAACGAATAAAAGTCGCCATTCTGCACTTGTAGCTCAGCATAAACATCCTAATTATCAAAATAAATTGTTACATCACTAAGGAACAATCCTCATAGAATAATCTCCTGAAATATACTCTGTAGAATTATTATTTCCTCGATGACAGTTCACTCGCAGTAATAGATGGCAGATCTATCAGTGATGAATATGGCAACTTTAATTTTATTCTTCAACTCAAGGATCCTCAGTTATACATCTTTTTATTGTTTCGCCTGCACTACTTGGGCTGATTGTTGAGCTTACTATTGAATATTGGCCTTATTTGGATCATCTACAACGTGTCCCAAAATTAAATGGTCTAAACAATATAAAGGCAAAAGATAATACAAAGTTTCGTTCTGTTGACAAATATTCCTGAACAGCTGACAAGGCTACATCTTACAAGGGCAGCCTGAGGGATTCAACTAATTTACTAGTGGAAGACTCCACAATTGACTCACAAGTCGAAATGCTTACAAGTGAAGTCCAACCGGCAATGCCAAGGTCGGGGAAGATGACTAGGAAAAGTTCTACATAGCTAAGAGGTTTCAGAGCTGCTACCAAATAACTCCACAAGACCTAACACGAGAATCCGTGGTAAATCCATGTATAGCAACTTTCTTTGCCTCCAATTTGCCCAGATTAATCTATTAGCTTGATTGTCTTTATATAATTTTTTCTGTATATACATTTTATGTTACCATTAAGTTCTATCATTGTTTTCCCTGCATGTATCCTATATTTTTGCTTGGAGAATCTGTATAAGACTAAAGGGTCTTGATAAAGCTTTTGTTGTTGTTGTGTTGTTGTATTGACCACATATTTACACTAACTACTTTAATCCAAATATCATTAAGAAAAAAGATGGGCAACATATGTATTTTTTGTCGATCTAAGGAAGGCATTTGATACTGTACCTCACTCAATACTTTGGAAAAAAACTTTACAACCTAGGCATAAGTTACCTATTCATAAGTACGATCAGAAGTTACTACGAACAAGCAACTATAGCTATCAGATGGAAGGGATCATTTACGGAAAGTATTAAGATAAACTCGGGAGTCCTCCAGAGAGAACCACTTTCGGGCAGAACGCACTGCTCTTCATATTATTTATCACGGACTTAATCGGGATTTATAATAATTCAGACCTGACGAGTGTAAATTTGCCAGTATTTGGAGATATCCATTTATTGCTCTACGCCGACGACATAGCAATTATAGGTGAGTCCAGGATGAATCTCCAAAAGAAGATCAAAATACTGAAAGAATATCTCGATGAGAATTTAATGACACTCAATGAGTCCAAGTCAGAGATTATGGTGTTCGGTAATGGAGGTAAACCCTCAAATAATGATAGATGGTTCTGGAATGATAAACCCATAACAATAACTTCAAGATATACATACTTGGGATTCCCTCTGACACCAACAATAACAACTACTCACCGGCAAATTACTTTGAAGGAAAAGCACTTACAGAAATTAACGCCACACACCCAATATTAATAAAATCAAAAGCAAAGTCAATAAATTTATCAATCAAACTCTTTGATACAATAGTGAGAGCTGTCCTGATGTATGCCGCTCCATTGTGGGCAACAGAGCATAAAGACTTACTGGACAGTATACAAGACATATTTATCTGTAGGTTCCTGAATCTGCCCAGATACACTCCAGGTTACATAATCATATTAGAAACCGGTCGTATCTCATTGAGTGTAACAGCTTTAAAATTAACCCTGAAGTATTGGCTGCGGGTGTTGAATATGAGCAGTGACAGATTGCCGCGTATATGTTTTAATAGAACAGAGGAACTGTCTAATGCTTCGGGCACACCCATCGGTTTCATTAAAAAGCTCACCAATCTGCTTAACAATAATGGATCCCCTGCACTTGTTTCCTGTGATGATCCTGAAACTCTGAGGAGCGCGATTACAGGGCTCTTAAAAACAGCGGTAGACCAATCTATACAAAACGACCTTACAAGAATGGATAAATCTAAGCTATACTCTCACTACAAAGACATTCTCATATCTTTCATGACGGAGGGATACCTTTTAGGGGATTTTCCTTTTCCGGTTGTGAGACTACTCGCACAAGTTAGAATACTTTCAAGTTTTTTTTTAGAGAAAACTACACCAAGATGCTCTGCGGTAAGGACACGATTTGTTACTTCTGTAATTATAAACTAAAAAATGAAATCACTCATTATATTTTTGATTGCTCTGCTCTGAAAGAAGAAAGAAGAGCTCTTATGTTCAAAACTGGGCAACTCTGTGCTTCACTTCCATCAATAATTGACAATATGATCCAGATTAAGTATATCGCTACGGCGTTTTATGGTTTCCACAAGTCCATATCTCAGAAGAAGGCCAAGTGACACTCACTCCTCACTTTCTTACTGCTACTCTTTTTGTGTTGTTTTTCTTGCTTCCCTCTTTCTCTTTCTTGTTTTTTTTTTTACATTTTTCTTCTGTCTAAATCGATTTTTCCTTTGTCTCACTGCTTTGTTCTTATGCATACCTCTGGTGAATCCTGTATAGGGTCAGTGACCCTAAATAAAGGCTTTTGTTGTTGTTGTTGTTTATTTACCTGTAGAAGGGTTGTTTAAAACTCGAAACTTATCTTTGTAGATTTATATTTGATTAATCTAAAATATATCTTATGAACAAATAATAATTATAACAAAATTTTAACTATTATTGACGCGTATGATTCTTTTCGAAAGAAAAAAAATATATTCTTTACGAACGGAAAAATATGTCCAGGGAAGCCTAGTGGACATGGCATCTGCCCGTAAGCGGAATACTGTGGGTTCGATTCCCATCCCTGGACACTTTTATTTTTCCGTTTATCATTACTCTTCACAATTCATCCTTTCATACTTCTTCCCTAAGGTTAGAAATAAATGTTATTTCTCCTTAAAATAAATTACGATTTTTCGTTCAAAAGAAACATGCGGGATAATTTTCAAATGTCGTTCTACATTTTTTACTCTATTTTTCTCAAGATATATTATTAATATAAAGCAATAACGCGCCCTCTAAATATAGCAAATGAAAACATAAAGACGCTAATGTTTCCTTTATATATATATATCAAACTGCTACTGTCTTTACTGCGATGAAAAAATATAGGGAGGGCTTGGCTCATCAGTTATATTATACTAGCATAATACTATTTTCTAATATTTCTTACCAGAGTGAGATCTGCTAGGTAAAATTTGATATTTTATATCTTTAAAAACATATGTTATAAATAATAATTTTACAAATTGAAATTTCTCTAGAAAATTTGTAGCGTAGAAATCAAGCCTTAGTACATCTTAAGATGTAAAAGTATTTATTGATGACGTCAGTACGACAAGTCGACAACTATCAACCAAACTATCTACAGCTAGAGAATATCGAGCAACCAAGCATACAACATATATGATTATTTCACAAATACAGAGTAAGTTCCTTTGAATATTTTTATTGAATAATACTTATTTCTTCGCCATAATATAAACAACTCAGCTAGTAAATAACAGTTATCACCTCACAACGCTGGCTAGAAAGGACACATCTCGTCTGCTTCTTACAAGGATTTATAATCAAATATGATGCGGCTTATGATTGTAGAACGACATTTGAAAATTATCCCGCATGTGTTTCTTTTGAACGAAAAATCGAAATTTATTTTAAGGAGAAATAACGATTATTTCTAACCTTAGGGATGAAGTATGAAAGGATGAATTGTGAAGAGTAATGATAAACGTAAAAATAAATCCCATCCCTGTACACTTTATTTTTTCTGTTCATCATTACTCTTCATAATTCATCCTTTCATACTTCATCCTCAAGGTTAGAAATAATCGTTATTTCTCCTTAAAATAAATTTCGAATTTTCGTTCGAAGAAACACATGCGGCATAATTTTCAAATGTCGTTTTACAATGATTTATAAAATGTAGTTATCTTATGACTTCACCCCATTTTACATATATCTACAACTCCACCTTTGCCGGTTCCAAGCCTGGATGAAAAAGGAAGGAGGGGGAGCAGTAACAAGCTCACTAAAAACCTGGGCTCAGCTGGCCCGGCTGATAGTACCCTGTAAGGGCTCCTAATCCAGAGATACAGTATGAGTCCGTACTCCATGTTAGGAGCAGCTGCACATGGCGTCTGTTTCTCAAGTCAGAGGCGGCCATTTCTTTTGGAGCTAAGTCGGCCTGCAGCTGAGAAGTGCTCCCAGTCTAAATGACAAAGGCAGACGTATTTTACTTCACCCAATCATGATAAATAAGAAAGAAGAAGAATACATATATCTACATCATTCTACAGAGAATAACTCACCGTGTCGACTACATGTAGCTCTGTAGGTGTCACGCATTGTTTTCTCCACACAAGCTGTGGTAACAAAGAGTGCTGCTAAGCAGGCCACTCTTATCTGCACAACAATTTCACTTTAAAAACATTTTAATTATTAATTAACTATTAACTACATATTTTCATTACAAGATATTCCTTGAAACTTTCTTCAATCTGTAAATTGTTTTCCTCGAATACACACAATACTTCAAAATTTGATTTCAATTAACAATATTTGCATACCAACCCTTTGTACACATTTCAATTGTATTGATATTTTTTCTCTTTTCATCTAACTAAAACTTGCAAAATATTCTTGTACATATTTCAAATATTACGATGTACTAGAGCGCCATCTGTTATCAAATTATAAAACTATTTTAGAGGCGTAATATTCTTTTTTAAAATAAAACAATTTCTACTGTCCTTACTGCGATGGAAAAATTAAAGGGAGGGCCTGGCTCATCAGTGGTGAACCCTCCCAGCGGTCCCATCTACCATGGTAGATTAAACTGGCGAAACCGCTGGGAGGGTTCACCACTGATGAGCCAGGCCCTCCCTTTAATTTTTCCATCGCAGTAAGGACAGTAGAAATTGTTTTATTTTAAAAAAGAATATTACACCTCTAAAATAGTTTTATAATATTTCAAATATCTTTCTTTACTTTCAATGTTTAGTTTACCTTTGTATTTATATATGTATTGAATTGCTTTTCATGTTATAAACTTACGTTTAATTAACCTTTGTAGTACAAGTGTCCCTAGGGGGACATAGCGCTCTAAGTCGAAATAAAATAAAATAAAACCTTTTGTTTTAATACCGAAATTTTATTGACATATCTCGAAACATTGAATATAACTTGAAAGTTTATAATGTAATATAGAGACAAAATCGTGCTGAATGTTTTAATTTCTTGTACATAGTTGGCGTGCTATGGCCTCTATGTTCAAATATGCCTGAATAACCTTATGCGAATTATTTGTGGGAGAGCATTTCTCGATGTAAAAAAAAACATTTATAATGTTCTCAAAGAGCTTATGTCAATAGTTTCGTTAAATACGTCAACCAAGAATTTATTTCTTGTCCCGGAAATAGAAGCAAGATAGCTCAATATAATAATAGAGTGGCCGCGTATGGTTACATCAAGATAAATATATCTGAGATAACCAACGGTTATCTGTTGTGTTGTTTTATATGTAAATATGGCATGAAAATGTGGTATTCTAGATTTTCTTAGGCTGATGTTTTCGACGTTGGTATTGACTTAAGTAAAGGAATTGTCCACAATGATGTTAGATTAGATATGCTGTGGAGGATTATTTGTGACACGGACACGAGTTTATTATTATTATTTGATGATATATCTTTAAAAACATATGTTATAAATAAAAATTTTACAAATTGAAATTTCTCTAGAAAATTTGTAGCGTAGAAATCAAGCCTTAGTACATCTTAAGATGTAAAAGTATAGAGACAAAATCGTGCTGAATGTTTTCATTTCTTGTACATAGTTGGCGTGCTATGGCCTCTATGTTTAAATAATGCCTGAATAACCTTATGCGAATTATTTGCGGGAGAGCATTTCTCGATGAAAAAAAAAAACATTTATAATGTCCTCAACGAGCATATGTCAATAGTTTCGTTAAATACGTCATTGTAAGAAGCAGACGAGATGTGTCCTTTCTAGCCAGCGTTGTGAGGTGATAACTGTTATTTACTAGCTGAGTTGTTTATATTATGGCGAAGAAATAAGTATTATTCAATTAAAATATTCAAAAGAAAATTACTCTGTATTTGTGAAATCATCATATATGTTGTATAGCTTGGTTGCTCGATATTCTCTAGCTGTAGATAGTTTGATTGATAGTTGTCGACTTGTCGTACTGACGTCATCAATAAATAATAAAATTAAAAAAATCTCGTCCATCTCGAGTCCATGGATTCAGGCTAATGAGACTCGTGGTTCAGAGCGGCTTTGATTTCACGAGATGCATAAGGTATCAAATGAAATCTTTAAAATCTCTGCCAAAAAGAAAGGGAGGCGCATAGCTGCTAAAATTACTAAGCCATATCAATGGTCGAATTATAGATAGAAATTTCGCCATTTGGGGTTGGGGATAATCCCTATATACATATATAAAAATCAGTGTATGTATGTATATATGTATGTATGTTTGTCGGATATACACGTCCACAATACATAACTAATCTGGCTGAAATTTTAACAGTATATAGAGTTGAATCTGGAAAAACATATAGACAAATTTTCAGGCTTCTATCCCGAACATCCTTGGAGTTATTAACACAGTATTGGCAAATTTACCCCACTTCACTCGCAACCAGCGCCTCACTGCGGTAAATGCGAGAACTATAGTTGGGGAAGAATAGACTACGTGGGGCAACGGGATTGGTGGAGCGGGTCGTTTCACAAGAGTGACGACCTTGAGTGACGTAATGACGGCGAAGGGGCAATATATCACTTGCTATCATCATTTTATTTATATATCAATTTAAAATACATTCATATAAAAAAACAAAATAATACAATTTTCAAATATCGTTGTGAAAATTTACATTTTTATTTTTATGTTTTAAAAACACACAAAGTTTGGAGCGGGACGTTTCACAAGAGTGACAACCACGGCACCAATTTATAATTGTAACGAATAGTATTTGAATGAAAATATTTAAACGGGTAAAACCCGGGCGTTTCCCAGGTCATTCGGCTAGTGGTATATAAAAATAAAGTTAGCCTTCACCTTAAAAATAAGCTAAAGCTGCTGTTGTGTCTTTATAATTAACCCTAGCTTGCTACTAGTTTGCGGAGGGGGTCAATAGATTGCTTCTAGTTGTGAAGTGGTTTATTTTGAAGGGAAAAGGAGCTTTTATTTTTAAAGATGACTATGGCCAGCGCAACACCTAGATTTTACCCTAAGTGGATATTTACCAGAAAATGGACAAAGTTTTCATTTATTCAATGCAGTTTCCATTATTAGCTACACCACTCTTGAAGCGAGGGCAGAATGAATCAAAGGTTTTGTCCACCATGACCAATTCACAATTTATCACAGATCATGGAAATTTCAGATTTTTTCTTAAGAAAATTCAGGCTGTGTAAGATTCGAAATGTTTCTGTGGATTGGGGGAACAAACTTCAATACATCTCTTGCTAGAGTGCCCTGTCTTTCAAGATTACAGAGTCAACAACGATTTAATAGCTTTAGGCCCTAGTGATTTAATTTCAAGTAAGGACACATATAAATAATTTAATTTCCTTTGTAAATATATTTTGGATTTCATTAAGAAAAATGGTCTTTGATGTAACGATCTCAAGGAAATATTGGACATATCTTGTGGTTGTAAACAATATATAGGTGTATGCGTGTATATGTGTGTATATATGCATATATTTTTAAATTTAATGATGCAACTGTAAATAAAATTCAAAGAATATCTCTATATATGTAAATTATATTTATGAATAT